ATTATTGTTTAAATGGTGAAATACCTCCACTCAAGATCAATGGAACCCTTCTGCAAAAGTGGGTACCCCCATTCAACTACTGGACAAGTAAAATAACTTATCTTATTGAATGACAGCTATATATCAGTAAGTCGTGTCCAGGTCTATGATACAGTGGGAAGGTCCCAGTACCCATCTAACCCATATCAAATATCAAAGGGCCCCAGAGTGGGACCTTGTACAAATGCACACATAGTTTGTTCCCCCCTGATCCCAACATATATTATTAGTACAGGTCCAGGGTATAAATGTTCCCCTTCCCCAGCCAAGTCCTCCAATGGGTTTAGGGGACCTTACTTTTTTTTTCAGAGGCAGTGTATGAATTTTAAAGTGGTTTTAAAGGTTGAAGTTTTTTTTTTACCTTCATGCATTCTAGGCACGAAGGTAAAAAAAACCTTCTGTGTGCAGGCCCAGCCCACCCAATACTTATCTGAGCCTGATCTTGATCCAGTGATGAGCAGCTGCTCTCCTGGCTCTCTCCCTCCTCATCAGCTCAGAGACAACAACTCCATAACAGCCATTAAGGAGGGAGTGGTGAGGGGCAGGGCTGAGCTGCGCTGCGTTCTGTGTGTCAGCGAATATGCAGAGCAGGGCTCGAGAGTGAGCATGTACAAGTGCCCCCATAGGGAGCAACTTGCTATGGGGACACTCAGCAAGGGGGAGGAGATGGGGGGACCCGAGAAGAGGAGAATTGGGACTGCAGCTAAGTATAACATGTTTGTAAAAAAAAAAAAAATCTTTAGTATCACTTCAATTTAACTTGGAAATCAAATTAGAGCTATAAAAGTAACAAAACTCCACAAATGTCAAACTTGTTAGGTGTTTGGTACATTATGGTTCAGTAATAAAAGGAGTATTGTAATGAGCATGTCGCATTATACAGGCGTACCTCGGTTTACGAACGCCTCGGTTAACGTAATTTTCGGATTATGAATGAAAAATCCATTGAAAATAATGTCTCGGTTTACGAATTTTTTTCGCACTACAAATGGATTAACTGGTTTTCAATGCATTTACAAATTTTTTTTTAACAATATTCCTGCACAGTACTATGCCTTTAAAGTGCACTTTTTATAAAGAGTTTTGAACAGATAAGACTTTCTTTTACTTTTTTTCTGACCTCCGGAACGGATTAATTGGTTTTCAATGAATTTATGAATTTTTTTCACAATACAAATGGATTAATTGGTTTCCAGTGCATTTACGAATTAATTTTTAATCATGTCCCTGTACAGTATTATGCCTTTAAAGTGCACTTTATAAAGAGTTTTGAACAGATAAAATACTTTTTTTTTTACTTTCTTCTGACCTCCGGAACAGATTCATTGGTTTTCAGTGCATTCCTATGGGAAACTGCGTTTCGGTTTACAAATTTTTCGCAATACGAAACGTCCAGAAGAACGCATTAAATTCGTAAACCAAGGTACACCTCTATATTCATCCAATTATAGTAAAATCTTTTTTTTGTGTGTTTATTATAGGTGTTTTGTTGCGTATTGTGGTAGAGCTTGTATTTTTTCATCCTGCCCCCTGCAGAATGTTTGTTCACTTCTATGGACATGCTTTGTCCACCACTGCTGTTTTGCTGATTGCAGGTGCAGTGCTGTAAACAATGTTCCATATAATAATGACCAGGGAAACGTCTCGCTCTAAACACAACCAACAACTTTATCAACCTATTTGCTGCAAATCAAAGATGGCCTCGGTAAATTAAGGCATGAAATAGGTTCTTTTAATAGAATCTCCATAGCTGAAAGCAAGGCCAGCAGGTAAGGAAATGAGGTTGCCAGCTGGGACCGCGAGCGTTAAAATCCTGCACACTGGGCAGCTGGCACTGAATGGTAATTTCTGGGCTGGAGAAACTTTGCCTGAACAAAAAGAAAACAAAATCACATTAAAACTTCAGTTGACCTGATATTATAGGTAAATAGAAAATTGGGCTGAATATACTAAGAAAATGTTAGAGAACAAAAATTAAAGGTCCAGTGCCTGCAAAAAAGTAGTAAATGCAGCAACTTCATGATCCATATGCATCTACTATTGCATCTGTGATCAGTGCATTGTGGGGGCAATGCACAGGCTCTTGTAATGTTTTGCCTTACACTCAGTCTGTATGGAGGTACTGACCTACTGAAGTGGGACTAAACTGCAAGCAGGCAATGGAGGAGACATCGCCACATTGGCTCTGCCCAGTCCCTCTTGTGGCCCTCCTGTCACAAGTATTCTCATGAACCAAGTAAGGCCCAAAAGGTAGATTGAGGGAGGCTTCTCTTTCATGCATGGACACACCTCGAGGTTTCTGCTAGTGAAAGCCCACATTGGTTTACATTCTTTTGAGGCCCATACATCTGCTTTGAAAGTAAACTATTTTAGTTTCTTTTATGTTTTTTAGCTTTTACTGTATACAATCAATGGTTTACACATAAACCTTAACTACATAAAAAGGAATTAAAAAATGGTCTTTGCCTGAAACACTGTGTTAGGATATCTCCTAGAATTTTATGAGAAGCCAGTGGGCAACTCAATCCCTGACTATCTACTCTCATAGAAGAACCTTTTTTTTTGTTCTATCCCATGTCTCTTATCTCTCTGCATTCTTCTTGCCGCCACTTGTCACAGGAAAGAACTCAGAGCCAGGACAAGTGGCCATTATTAAGCCGCCTTCTCCTGGCTAGCTGTGTTGTTGGATGGCCTTATGGGTACTTGTAGTACTTTGTTCCATGTTGCTAGGTGGTTTCTAATCCTAGCTGTGAGGTCGGAAAGTGCACCCACACTCTCCTCACATTTCTCTTATCTCTCTGCATTCCTCTTGCCACCACCTGTCACAGGAAAGGGCTCAGAGCCGGAACAAGTGGCCATCATGAATCAGCAGTTTCCTGCCTAGCTGTGTTGTTGGATGGCCTTGTGGGTACATGTAGTACTTTGTCTCATGCTGCTAGTTGGTTTCTAACCCTAGCTATGAGGTCAGAAAGGGCACCGACCCTCTCCTTCCATGTCTCTTATCTCTCTGCTTTCCTCTTGCCGCCACCTGTTACAGGAAAGGGGCTCAGAGCCGGAACAAGTGGCCATTATGAAGCAGCCGTTTCCTGCTTAGCTGTGTTGTTGGATGGCCTTGTGGGTACATGTAATAATTTGTCCCATGTTGCTAAGTGCTTTCTAACCCTAGCTATGAGGTCAGAAAGGGCACCGACCCTCTCCTTCCATGTCTCTTATCTCTCTGCTTTTCTCTTGCCGCCACCTGTCACAGGAAAGGGTTCAGACCGAAACAAGTGGCCATTATCAAGCAGCCTTCTCCTTCTTAGCTGTGCTGTTGGATGGTCGCAAGGAGAGAGGGAGGGCACCTAAAAACCAGAAAGGAAAAGGCTGCTTATCTTGGCTCAAAGCACCTTCCCAAGAAAAGCAGTGGCAAGAGGAATGCAGGAGGACGAGAGGCTAACTCCTTGATTTAGCGGTGCCCTCCCTCTCACCCCACAGCCACCCATCAACACAGCTAGGAAGGAGATGGCCACTTCTTAATGACCACTTGTCTCAGCTCTGAGCCCTTTCCCAAGACAAGCGGTGGCAAGAAGAGATAACAGACATGGGAGGAGAGGGTGGGCACCTAATCTAGCTAGAGTTAGGAAGCACCTAGCAACATGGGGAAAAAGTACTACATGCACTTTGTCCTATGGGGGTCAGAAAGTAAAAAAAAAAATTAATAATGGTTCTTCTTTAAAAGAGAACTCCAAGGACCATAATCATTAAACCCTTTTCCTGGGAGCCTAGGCCACCATGAACACATCCAGTAGGGTTCTTATTTATTTATTTATTTTATTAACAGAAGATCTGCTTTAAATCTGAAATAGACTTGAGTGTATGAGCAGATTTCCAGCTGCCGTTTTATATCACACAGAACAAATTTAAATGGTAATTTTATCTGACAACGAGTAGTAATAAAAGACCAATTTTTATCAGCATTATGCAAGTTTTTATACCAAAAATTTGTCACATAAACTGTACACCGTGTAACAAAAATCAGTACATAAATAACTTCACAAATTTACAAGCTCCAAGAACAAGATTCATCATCCAGTTTATAAATAATATGTGTGATAAATGTGGATTAATAGCAAGTCCCAAGCAGTTTGTAGCTAAATTTAAAGCAAAATATTCTTAGAATCCAGGCTTCATTTGCCCATTATGTTGGCTCAATTAGGCGAGGTAGTCAGATTTCAAAGAGGTGGAATAGCCACAGAAAAGCAGATAATGGGAAAATAGATTGATTTAAAGTGAGAAATTAAATGTTTCTAGCAGCCCAAAAGTCTGCATTAAAATAGAACCCTCTGTAGAACTAAAAAAAAGGGTTCTGTTTCAGTGTTTGCTCTGCATTCCTAAATGAAACAAATTCTTTTGGTAATTGCGTTATAGCTGTTATCAGATTTGTTGACATTTGTTACTGTGTCCATTTCATATACATCCGAAGCTCCAAAAATCAAATTTTCATCCAAAATTTGATCCGTAGTGAAATGAAATGTACATGTCTAGAAACAATAGTACTCAGTGCCTGATCGACATGTTCCTGGGCATGGTAATGTATACACTATATAGCCAATAGTATTGGGATGCCTGCCTTTACACACACATGAACATTAATGGCATCCCAGTCTTAGTCTGTAAGGTTCAATATTGAGTTGCAGCTATAATAGCTTCAACTGTTCTGGAAAGGCTGTTCACAAGGTTTAGGAGGGTGTCTATGGGAATATTTGACCATTCTTCCAAAAGCGCATCTGAGAGGTCAGGCACTGATGTCGGATTGGAAGGCCTGGCCTGGCTCCCAGTCTCCGCTCTAATTCATCCCAAAAGTGTTCTACCAGTTTGAGGTCAGGAGGTGCAGGACAGTCAAATTCCTCCACCCCAAACTCACTCATCCATGTCTTTCTGGACCTTGCTTTGTGGACTGGTGCGCAGTCATGTTGGAACAGGAAGGGGCCATCCCCAAACTGTTCCCACAAAGTTGGGAGCATGAAATTGTCTTGGTATGCTGACGCCTTAAGAGTTCCCTTCACTGGAATTAAGGGGCCAAGCCCAACTCCTGAAAAACAACCCCACACCATAATCCTCCCTCCACCAAACTTTACACTTGGCACAATGCAGTCAGACAAGTACTGTTCTCCTGGAAAAACCGCCAAACCCAGACACGTCCATTGGATTGCCAGACAGAGAAGTGTGATTCATCACTCCAGAGAACATGTCTCCACTGCTTTACACCACTGCATCCAACGCTTTGCATTGCACTTGGTGCTGTAAGGCTTGGGTGCAGCTGCTCGGCCATGGAAACCCATTCCATGAAGCTCTCTACAAACTGTTGTTGTGATAATCTGAAGGCCACACCAAGTTTGGAGATCTTTAGCTATCAACTCTGCATACAGTTGGCGACTTCTGTGCATGCGCTGACCCCGCTCTGTCATGTGACGTGACCTACCACTTCGTGGCTGAGTTGCTGTTATTCCCAGTTGCTTCCACATTGCTATAATTCCACTAACAGTTGACCGTGGAATATTTATTAGCAAAGAAATGTCACGGATGGACTTATTGCACAGGTGGCAACCTATCACGGGACCACGCTTGAATTCACTGAGCTCCTGAGAGCGACCCATTCTTTCACAAATGTTTGTAGAAGCAGTCTGCATGCCTAGGGGCTTGATTGTATACACCTGTGGCCATGGAGGGGATTGGAACACCCGAATCCAAATAATTTGGAGGGGTGTCCCAATACTTTTGGCATTATAGTGTATGTGCAAAGGGAGAGCAGCATGGAAAGTAGAGGTTCCTGAGTTTATTAACATTATTAAGAAAAAAGACTTACTTCACCCACCTATTCTATAGTCAGGATTCTATTACAAATACAATTAAAAATTATTATACCTGAACTATGTTTTAATACACTTTTTCTTTATAACTAATCTTTCCTTGTTAGCCATGTGTATTTGTACATCAAAACTCAATACAATGTGTACATTTCTTAGAAAGCAGCATGATATCAATGTCTTTTATTGCATGAAGATTATAATGATAGCATTCATGAACTATAAATTATTTTAAAAACACGTTTTCACACGTTCACTGGGAGAAGACCACACTAATAATATTATAGTGAGCATTCTCAATCAATATAAAAAACATATTCAGAGGAAATTATAATGAAATGTTTACTTAAATCTGCACAGCTTCTCAATTAAATAAATATTTCATGCAGTAGAGATGAATGACCTGTGGGGGCGGTACATTACAATTGACTGGATTTTCTTATGACCCCAACAACAAACCGTTTGCATTTTGTTTTTTATATTTCTTAATTCATACAAACAACATGGGAGATATTTGTTTATTTTAGTTTTAACTTTTTTAAAGTGGGTTAGAGTGGCAGTCAAGGAGACCTTTCTTCTAAAGTAAACATACAGTAAAAGCCCCATTGCGATGAAGTCTTGCAGAGCTTCCTAAGCACTTATTTTTTCCAGAAACACACGTGGACTTAGAGGTAAATCATGACTTTCTCAACAAAAGAAGAGGCTGGGACATGTCTACCATTTTTAAAGATCATTGAGGTCTTCCATTACCCTGAACATCAACTGGCAGTTGCTGAAGGCAAAAGGGCCTCTAACTTTGGCAAGTTAAATTTCCTTGGACTTTAGGGTCCAGATTTTGCAGTTACTCTGAATATTTTTTGGTTCTTATAGTGGGATTTTTTTTTTAAGCCTTACTTACTCTTCAGTTGTTGCTGCTTTTTATCTACCAGAACAATACAAGAAGTAACAGTTGTAGAAAAGTAGGGTGCCACTTGCTATGATGTTCTGATGTGATGTTAGTATTTTTGTTTTTATTACTGAAAACTATTTTACTATATAGAGCAGAGGGTGTAAAAAAAAGTCTACTTTGTTGTCAATACTCTAGGTCAGGGGTTAACATTTCGAGTCCAGACCTAGAAGGTCACTTACTCTCCACCAGTTGCCCCACCCAACCTTGCCCAGGTCCAAACCCACCCCCACCCCCAACCACGCCCCTTAAAGCTTATGAAATTACTTTTTTCTTTAGAACTAAGAGTCCAAAATATAAAACTGTATACAGTAATGTATATCTCCCCTCCCCTGTACTCCATTATAGTGATCTGACATGTATACAGTATGTATATCCCCCCCCTCCCCTGTACTCCATTATAGTGATATGACATGTATACAGTAATGTATATCCCCCCTCCCCTGTACTCCATTATAGTGATATGACATGTATACAGTATGTATATCCCCCTCCCCTGTACTCCATTATAGTGATATGACATGTATACAGTATGTATATCCCCCTCCCCTGTACTCCATTATAGTGATGTGACATGTATACGGTAATGTATATCCCTCCTCCCCTGTACTCCATTATAGTGATATGACATGTATACAGTAATGTATATCCCCCTCCCCTGTACTCCATTATAGTGATATGACATGTATACAGTATGTATATCCCCCTCTCCTGTACTCCATTATAGTGATATGACATGTATACAGTATGTATATCCCAGCTTCCCTGTACTCCATTATAGTGATAGGAAATGTATACAGTAATGTATATCCCCCCCTCCCCTGTACTCCATTATAGTGATATGACATGTATACAGTAATGTATATCCCCCTCCCCTGTACTCCATTATAGTGATGACATGTATACATTAATGTATATCCCCCCTCCCCTGTACTCCATTATAGGGATATGACATGTATACAGTAATATATATCCCCCTCCCCTGTACTCCATTATAGTGATATGACATGTATACAGTATGTATATCCCCTCCCCTGTACTCCATTATAGTGAAATGACATGTATACAGTATGTATATCCCCCTCCCCTGTACTCCATTATAGTGATATGACATGTATACAGTAATGTATACCCCCCTCCACTGTACTCCATTATAAGGATATGACATGTATACAGTAATGTATATCCCCCCTCCCCTGTACTCCATTATAGTGATGTGACATGTATACAGTAATGTATATCCCCCCTCCCCTGTACTCCATTATAGTGATATGACATGTATACGGTAATGTATATCCCAGCTCCCCTGTACTCCATTATAGTGATATGACATGTATACAGTAATGTATATCCCCCTCCCCTGTACTCCATTATAGTGATATGACATGTATACAGTATGTATATCCCCCTCCCCTGTACTCCATTATAGTGATATGACATGTATACATTAATGTATACCCCCTCCCCTGTACTCCATTATAAGGATATGACATGTATACAGTAATGTATATCCCCCCTCCCCTGTACTCCATTATAGTGATATGACATGTACACAGTAATGTATATCCCAGCTCCCCTGTACTCCATTATAGTGATATGACATGTATACAGTAATGTATATCCCCCCTCCCTTGTACTCCATTATAGTGATATGACATGTATACAGTAATGTATATCCCCCCCTCCCCTGTACACCATTATAGTGATATGACATGTATACAGTAATGTATATCCCCCCCTCCCCTGTACACCATTATCCCCCCTCCCCCTGTACTCCATTTATGATATGACATGTATACAGTAATGTATATCCCCCCCCCCCTCCCCTGTACACCATTATAGTGATATGACATGTATACAGTAATGTATGTATATCCCCCCTCCCCTGTACTCCATTATAGTGATATGACATGTATACAGTATGTATATCCCCCCTCCCCTGTACTCCATTGCAGTGATATGACATGTATACAGTAATGTATATCCCCCCTACCCTGTACTCCATTATAGTGATATGACATGTATACAGTAATGTATATCCCCCTCCCCTGTACTCCATTATAGTGATATAACATGTATACAGTAATGTATATCCCCCCTCCCCTGTACTCCATTATAGTGATAGGAAATGTATACAGTAATGTATATCCCCCCTCCCCTGTACTCCATTATAGTGATATGACATGTATACAGTATGTATATCCCCCTCCCCTGTACTCCATTGCAGTGATATGACATGTATACAGTAATGTATATCCCCCTCCCCTGTACTCCCCCCCTCCCCTGTACTCCATTATAGTGATATGACATGTATACAGTAATGTATATCCCCCTCCCCTGTACTCCATTATAGTGATATGACATGTATATATACAGTATGTATATATCCCCCCTCCCCTGTACTCCATTATAGTGATATGACATGTATACAGTAATGTATATCCCCCTCCCCTGTACTCCATTATAGTGATATGACATGTATACAGTAATGTATATCCCAGCTCCCCTGTACTCCATTACAGTGATATGACATGTTGTATATACAGTACTTACTCCTAGTCCCTCTGAGTCCACGGCGGTGGAGAAGGTGTCTCCTCTCAGCGGAGGAGAGCGGACCTCTCCTGCACCTGTTCCCTCGGCAGCGGTGCCGCAGAAGCCGGAAACCGGATGTTGTAAACCGAAACTCGGCTTCTCAATGAGGGTTGGAGCGCAGATGCAGTCACTTCATGCTTCATCTGTGCTCGCTGCTCGCCGCTCGCCGCTCGCCACAGAGGAATTTCTCCTCGCATTTGGTGAGCGGGCAAGCGGCTTTTTCAAGCCCTGCTCTAGATATTCCTTATTGATATTCCGTATTCCTTATCCTTATTGATATCAAAATATTTGCATTAATATAAACAAATGTCACACTTGTAATATAAAACAATATTTTTATTTGAAATCCACTTATATTTTCATTAGTTTCAGCATACAACATTTCAAATAACTACATCAGAAAATAGATTCCTGAAGCTTAGTCTCAGACTACCACTACGTTTCTTAGTACTATAAATCCTTACTGTGCATGTGTTCAACCTTATATATAAAGGAGAAACAAAGAGTAATCCTTTCAAAATAAGCGCTGGTGAATAAGTGGAGTGATAGTAACTCTACATATTCCACAGGTAATATACACTCACCGGCCTCTTTATTAGGTACACCTGTTAAATTGCTTGGTAACACAAATTGCTAATCCACCAATCACATGACAGGAACTCAATGCATTTAGGCATCTAGACATGGTGAAGACCACTTGCACATCAGAATGGGGAAGAAAAGGCATTTAATTGACTTTGAACATGGCATGGTTGTTGGTGCCAGATGGGATGGTTAGAGTATTTCAAAAACTGCTGATCTACTGGTATTTTCGCATACACAACCATCTGTAGGGTTTACAGAAAATGGTCGGAAAAAGAGAAAATATCCAGTGAGTGGCAGTTGTGTGGACGAAAGTGCCTTGTTGATGTCAGAGATCAGGAAAATGGGCAGACTGCTTAGAGATAATAGAAAGGCAACAGTAACTCAAGTAACCACTCTTTACAATCAAGGTATGCAGAATACCATCTCTGAATGCACAACACATCGAACCTTGAAGCACATGGTCTACAACAGCAGAAGACCACACCGGGTGCACTCCTGTCAGCTAAGAACGGGAAACGGAGGCTACAATTTGCACAGTCTCACAAAAATTGGACAACAGAAGACTGGAGAAGCATTGACTAGTCTGATGAGTCTCGATTTCAGCTGAAACATTCAGATAGGGTCAGAATGTGACGTAAACAACATGAAAGCATGGCTCCATCCTGCC